AGGAAATATCTTGTTTTTATATATTCCGCTTTAATTTGATTTCTTTTATCTGGTACGCAAATAAAGTTTTGGATCAGATTCGTTTGGAAAAGTTCTCAGAATAACACACTTTCGGTTATCTTTGCTTTAATTCGCAAATTCTTTTCATACTTAATTCAAAAATGTGTGCATTGTTAGATAAAACATATATCTCAACACCATTTACTTTTATTATTATTATTATTATTATTATCAAAATTTTCTTGGGTTTTGCGTCGCACCAAAACAGTATAGGTCATATTTCACTTTTCAAGCTTTGCTGGTGCCATTCCGCGCAGTTTTGTTATCCGACACTTTGTAGAGAAAGCTTTATTTACAATAGAGTTAACCTTATAAAGTGACCTCTCATTAATTGATTATATCGACTTTACAGAGTATAGGTTGTTTTCAGGTGATAGAAACAATAATCTTGAAAATTTAAACACATATTTGAAAGGGTCTTAACTTTAAACTGCTTACCTCTCGCCGATGAAGGTTCGTGTTGCGCTAGAGTCTTCATAATCTTCATGTGGGAAAGCTATCCAGCTAGATCACGGAACGTCGGTGTTCTACTCAGGTGCCCGTTTGTGTCTGGAATAATGTCCAGAGTAAGACACATGAGATCTTCCTCCGCCAGTAAAGTTGAAAAGTCGCCATAAGACCTATACTATGGTGGTACGACATAAACCCAATAAAATAAAAGAAAAAAATGTTTGAAAATAGAAGAGAGAAATAACATGTTCTGTAGAAATAATTTCTGATGAGTTTATTGCAAAATCAATTACAACAATTTTAGTGATTATATTAATTCTTATCCTCATTAGAATTATGAATTAACAACTTAATGTTCGTTCACCTTGCAAATGTTTTTATCTGAAAAAAACAAAAAACAATGTCCTTGATATCATAGCATCGTCCGCAATATGATTGCGCCACAGTCATAAAATACTTAATTATTTGTGCCATAAAACAACCGTAACTGATACAGGTAATCTTGGTATTTATACCAACCATGAGGTTAATGAGAATAATGGTGTTTATCAATAGATGATACGATTTTGCTAATTTCCTTATTTTCGTCTTCTTTAGTATTAAATCCATAGTTTCCTTTATAATCCAATCCATCAAAAATCAGTGAAATGATGGTCTGCACCTCAATGTCGACATTAAAACATTTTGAATATCTCGCTCTTATTGTAAATAAGATATGATCAGATCACTTTACAAAATAAATTTTAAATTTGGCCAAACAAGTCATTTGTAAATATACATGTAAAATGCACATTGTAATGTAGGTTGCATCTACTATAATAAACAGTAGTTAAACACCATATTTAATGTTGTTTAAATTAATTCAGTTAGTATAATATACCATTTTTAACGACAAAATCGTTTTGTTTTTGTTTCTTCCTGACGTTATTCCAGCGTTGACTTATATTAAACGAGCATCAGTCAAGTTTGTTTCGATAAAGCTATTAAAATGCTTTTGAATCTGTTCTTGTATAATCTGTTAATCTCATTTATAAGTAAACAAAGTTTTTTTGTGATTTTTTTCTCTTCACCTGTATTTTGGAAGCTTTTTTTGTGTTTTTCTTTGTGTTGTTGTTGGTTTTTCGGGGTGGGGGTTTAGATTTACTCAAGTATTCGCTCTTGCTTTATATAAAGAACGCAGTTGCACCTGAGTTCTTTCTTCAGGAGTTAAGCTTGAGCAAATCACAATAAGACCTTAAAAGAGTAGGAATGGATAGATTGATGTTTGTCTAATATAAATATTTATCATTAAAAAAGAGGTACCATGACAGTTTTTCTGTTGAAATCAACCGTATAACTGAGAAATTCGTGTTTAAAGACACTATTGATTACTTGAGAAATAAGTTCATGGGCGCCGCCATTTTGGCGTTCTTTCACTCTCGCGAGACAGACGAGACCGAGATTATGACGTATTACACCCACTTTCGGTTTAGGTGTACACACTGGTACAACTGAAATATATCTTGATGAAGAACTTATGAACCTTATTACGTACATTATATATCATTTATGAAAACATCATTTTGAACTGAATTGCTTTAATTAATTAATTGAAGACGCCGCGACATTAATTAACATTTGTCCGGTGTTCAAGCTTGCTGATGATCCTTGACCACATGATTTAAGCAATGACTGCTTAGTTTTCATAGATAAACCATTTTATTTATTTGGTCAATTTAATTTGGGTACTATAAGTAAAATGAGAGATAAACTCCTTCAAATTGACGATAAATCCTTTTATTTTCGCTAGACAAGCTGTCCTTTGTATGTTTGAATCGGGTACATCGCCGGTGTAACATTAAATTTTGACCCTGTTGTGAAATGACCAATTTTCAACGGTCACAGGGTCAATTCTCAACGTTGAATTTTGAACCACCTGTTGAATTTTGAACCACCTGTTGAAGGTGTTGAGAAATGACCCCGGTTCATAATTTAACGTTTGAAAATGACCCCGGTTCATAATTTAACATTGAAAAATGACCCTGAATGTTTATTATATTAGAAGGCACAGCATCTATAAATACGTTTTCAATCCTATCTTTTTAAAGGCGCTTTAACTGAGCTACAAAAACAGACTTTGAGCTGTCATGGTCAATTGTGAAAAGATAACATTTGAATTGCATAAGAATTGTGAGGAAAATTGATTATTTTTGCACTTCTGCTTCAGAAGCTTTTGGTTTTTGGCATTCTTTGCAACATTTAAATTTAGTTTAATCATATTTTATTGCTTTTCTTTATGTACAATATAGATACAATTTCACATGCAATACAAAGTTATTTTCAATAATTTACATGTATGATGCAGTTTTTAATTATAAAGCAAAAGGGTCGGGCCACAAGTTTTAACAACATTAGATGGTTGGCCCTTCCCAATTAGTCTCAATAAAGGTAAAAAGATGTGCGTGAGTCTCGTTATAGTATTGATATTGATAATAGTATATATAAGCAATCAAAGAAAAATGTCTGGAAATAATTAATATGATGCTAAAAAACAGTGACTAAACATGATTTTGAAAGAAAAAAAGACAATAGAGAAAAAAAATGAAAAGAGTAGAAGAAAAAAAAAAATCTGGAAACAAAGTGATCCCTCGGAAGCATTAATCACAACAGAATTACTAGAGAATTGCAGACTCGGTTTGATTGAGTCTGTACATGAGAGATAATGAATAAGTGCAACATCCCTCAAGCCCCCTAGCACCGGCTTGAGCGGTACTCAATTCTGCCGTGTGTCGAAGTTCCCGCCCGTCCGTTTTATCCTTGGTATGAATATAGTAAATAAGGACAACAATTAAGAGCACTCTTTAGGAACTAGGATTTAAACATTTTGAAACCTTCTTGATCGTTTGATAAAAATTTGAACATGATGGAATAACATGTTATTTTCTTCATCACTAAGGTTATTGATACCGAATAATTATTTATAGGCACTTAAAGGATGGTAAGTACGTGTATTAATAAATAAGGTACACCTCTGATCAGTATACAGTGGGCATTTGAAAAAGTAATGGTCAGCGTCTTTAGAACGAAAACCGCATTCACAAATTGGATTGTCGCGTAAATGGTTATAGTGTAAATCGGCATTAAGATTGCTACACTTATTTCTAATTCTTGTGTGGTAATTTGAAGAAACCTGTCACCTGTAAGAAAGTATGACGGAGCTTGAGGCCGAGAAAAAATAATTTTAAGTCTGGCTTTGAATGCTGAAAGTGACTATTACGAGTATCTAGGTCTAAACTATTCCATACTTTAATAGAAGAGGGTATAACTGATTTCGAATAAATTTCTAATCGTCGGGCAACCGTTGCATAATTCTCGTTGTTTCTTAAATTATATGTACTATTATTACCAACTATTTCTGGGAAGATGTCGCTCAAATAACAGGGAAGCTCGCCTCGACTATGTTTAAAAACAAGAATCAATTTTTGCATTTTCCTTCTATCTGCAAGTGAGACCCAGCCAATTTCGCGTATGAGATTTACGATTGATACTGATCTTGTTAGACCAGTCACAATTCGCGCAGCATCGTACTGAATGCTTTCAAGGACATGAAAGGAAGATGATGTTGTTATATTCGAAACATGTTGATGCCATGTTCCATCACTTAATGTTACTCCTAAATGCTTGTGTGAATGAACGAAATTAAGATGTGTATTTTGAAATTAGATGTCGGGGGTATCGCGATTATTTTTTGACAGTGAAAAATACATAACTTCCGTTTTGGCAGCATTAAATTGTATTAACCATTGTTTTGCCCAGGCAGATATAATTTCAAGATCGCGGTTGATAGTAATTTCAATATGATTTTTATCTCTTGCACTTACTGCTAATGATATGTCATCTGCAAATAATCGTGCGACACTTGTAAGTGACTCTGCTATGTCATTCACATAAATTAAACATTTAAATGTGATTTGTGGCAAAACAGATTGAGCAAACAATCTGGAATTTTGCATAAATAAACAATAGCGAAAGCTATATTGTGGCTCAGTCGGACGGACCTCATAAGAATTAATCACACACTCGTCTCCCTTTAAAGACCCAAACAAAATACCTTTATCTCAATCCCAATGCATGCTGCTTATGTTTATATAAACCAAAAGAAGCTTTAAAGGAAGAGCTAATTTTTGTTTCGCTCTTTAAAGGGAGACAGTGTATTTACTACCACATAAATGTTTACTTGCTGACTAGCGGATTACTGGGTTGGTGCTAAAGATAATGTATGAATTGCTTGATAAACTATTTTTGTAGAGCGTCTGTGGCGAAATTGTAAAGCGTCAGTGGTGTATAGGCTCCGTACTGGGATACGAAGCAAGGAGTCCGTGGTTCGATTCCGGTTAGGTTGTCATCATGAATGTTTATCCTTAAGTAAGGCAATTCACTCTGCATTGCTACTGGTTTCTTCCCCGCTTCTGCTGGGAAGAAACTACCTCCATGGTCGACTTTTTAAGAGTCGCCGACATCTCATCCAAAAGACATCTCAGATGTGGGTTTGAATCCCAGCGGAGGACGCATTTGTCAGTTTGCCGTGGAGGAGTGGGGTCTGGTACTGGTTATTTCCAGGACTGAAATACTGTAGAAAACTCATAAAAATAAACAAACACATGCTTGCACATGCTTCATTTCGATACTGATTAGGCTTTATTAATATTGTCACTCTTTCACTTATATCTATTTGTTCTGCATTAGAATTTGGTGGAAGCTCGATTTCGATGGGAAGCCTGGTTTCCCTACCATATACTAGAAAAAATGACAATGTTGTCAGAAATTGAACATGTTTAACAGTAACAATACCTTAAAAGAAGCATAAAAAGCGACATACGAAACAAATTTTTCTTTGTTAGAAATGTCTTTCTTCTGTAAATATTTATCTAAGATAGCATTTTAACAAAGTCCCCCTGGTCACACAACAGGTTAAACACGTTAGGCTCTATTCGCTTTGAAACGTGCTCTAAGCCTCTAATGTTATAACTTTTGTACTTAAATGTCTGCACATATATCACATTTTGACGGAATTCAGATGGCAATTCTTGTAAAATACTCTCATCCTTGAAATTATTAACCAAAGAGCCTTCCAACATTTCACTTGGAACGTACATTTTTAAATCTTTTGGCACATAACTGCCAATTGGAATGTATGGAGGTTTACTGAAGATTTCCTCATTGATGTCCAACACAGGCTCATAGTGGTCATATTTGTGTACTATGTACACACTAGCCTCACCTAGTGAGTTGTTTGTTGAACTTAAAGGTGGATAGTTTATCCAACATCTCTTATCCCCGTAATCACAAAAGACAAAAACATTGGTGTTTGTCATGGTTGAAAAGGCTCGGATTTGAACGTCAGTTCCGTATTCACCAGAGTTCCACATTTCGGTTCTGTTAAGATAAGCTGACAAGGATTCGTCTGCGTATCCTTCAAAACGTTCACTATGTGTAAGCATAAATTCTACGACCGCCTGTCTCACTTCATTGAAGTAGCTTTGGACACCGGATACAATATAACTGAAAGTACGAAATAAACAATTACCATCACCTCTCATCCGAGGAGTGTTTATCGGTTGTGAAGTTGAAAGCATTGGTCTACTGTTTATATGCTTATGATAATTCCTGACTTTTATGTTGAAAATCTGGCAGTTTTTATCTTGCCAATGAGGCCCTGCAGGATCAAATGACATATAAGTACTAGGATCTATGCGATTTATTTCGATATCGTCAGTTTCACTTTCTTCATCTATGTACACTCTTCTTTTCTTAAATGGAATATTCTGTTGTTCTTGTTGCTTTCTTTTAATATTGCGTCTGGTATAATCAGACTTCTTGTCACGGCTGTCGGTATCAGACTTCTTGTCACGGCTGTCGGTATCAGACTTCTTGTCTCGGCCGTCGGTATCAAATTTCTTGTCAGAGCTGTCGGTATCAGACTTCTTGTCTCGGCCGTCGGTTTCAGACTTCTTGTCACGGCCGTCGGTATCAGACTTCTTGTCACGGCTGTCGGTATCAAACTTCTTGTCTCGGCCGTCGGTATCAAATTTCTTGTCACGGCTGTCGGTATCAGACTTCTTGTCACGGCTGTCGGTATCAGACTTCTTGTCTCGGCCGTCGGTATCAAATTTCTTGTCAGAGCTGTCGGTATCAGACTTCTTGTCTCGGCCGTCGGTTTCAGACTTCTTGTCACGGCCGTCGGTATCAGACTTCTTGTCACGGCTGTCGGTATCAGACTTCTTGTCACGGCTGTTTGTATCAGATTTCTTGTCACAACCGTCGGTACTTGACTCCTTATCATGGTCGTCCGATTGCTCGCCATGTTCTTCTGTATATATGTTCGCTTCATGTTTGTAAATTTTAAGCCTATTTCCATTCACGACTGCAAGCTTCCCTTCAAGCTTATAGGCTCCTTTACCTAACACTTCTTGAATAAAGTAAGGTCCTGTCCAAATTGGACCAAGTTTACCCCCTTTCCTTGAAAGTTTCCTAGTGTTGTGAACTAGTACTTCATCACCTATGTTGAATGCGTGTTTTTTCACTTTTTTATCATGGTACTTCTTTTGTCTCATTTGTTTTTTCTTTATGCTTGCACATGCTTCATTTCGATACTGATCAAGCTTAATAAATATCTTCACTCTTTCACTTAGATCTATTTGTTCTGCATCAGAATTTGGTGGAAGCTCGATTTCGATGGGAAGCCTTGCTTCCCTACCATATACTAGAAAAAAGGGTGTTTGATCAGTAGTACTATGTTTCGCTGTTCTATATGCAAACAGAACAAATGGAATCTTACAGTCCCAATCATTTTGATTTTCGTTTACATAGTGTACTAACATGTCGGTAAGGGTACGATTAAAACGCTCCGTATGTCCCCCCGTTTGTGGGTGGTATGGGGATGCCACATTGTGATCGATTCCCATAGCCTCACAGAATAACTGGTTTAATTGATTGCAAAATTCTCTGCCCTGGTCCGTTATCAACTTATTCGGCACTCCATGTACACAAACAAACTGGATTTATTTAATTCTAGGTCACTTGCATCTATAAAGAAACAAGAGCTATCACTGAAGGTGATGAATACCCCCCGCATGGCACATTAACTCCTAATATACATATATCTGTATTCAGTTCATTATTCAATGTATTCATTCATGTTAATTGTCGAGTTCCCTGTAGCAAATGGAAAAGAATTCATTCCAAATCAGTGCAGCACTGGCCAAACAATCAATGTTATGAAGTTTGTGTCATAAAAATTCAGCAAAGGGCCATAACTCTTTCAAATTGAATGCAAGCAAATTAGCATGTAGACATCATACAAGTAGACTTCATACCAATTATCTCTGAGAAATTCTAATGAAGTCCACCAAGCTGTGTCAAAATACATGCGAACAGATTTTTCGTAAGATATGCGCAACTACACTTCATATAAATTACTCCTGTCAAGTTTCAATGAAATCCAACCAGCGGTTTGGGAGAAGTAGTGCACAAAAGATTGTGTCTTAAAAAATCAGCAAAGGGCAATAACTCTGTCAAAATAAATGCCGACAGATTTTTCTTACGATATGCGCAACTACACCTCATACCAATTACTCCTGTCAAGTTTCAATGAAATCCGACCAGCGGTTTGGGAGAAGTAGTGCACACAAGATTGTGTCTACAGACAGACGGACAGACAGACAGACGGACGGACAGGCTGATTCCAGTATACCCCCACAACTTTGTTGCGGGGGGTATAATTAAAAAGTGTGTGTTATTTATGGTAACGTATGTTACGGACAGAAAACATACACATTTTGATAGTTTCAATTTTCAGTTCTTTCCTTATTTTCTTTTTCACCAGTCGAATTAAATTGTATCTGCTTTCTACTTAAATATTTTGGTATTATTTCTCTATTGTGGACTGGAACCATTTAAAGTTAAAGTAAAATTATTTCTGTCGAGGTTTCAATTACTAATTTATTGGACAAACTGTCTTCAAAATAAAGAAATCACCGAAAATCTTAAGGGACGAAGGGGTCCTCTAGTAGCCCGGGGAATCATTTCACCATTTATTGACAACAACATTTGCTGCAGCAGCAACAAAAAGAAATGACTCGCATATTCCCGACATTGCAGTCTATCCATGTAACAAGTGTCATGAAGAAATATTATAAACTTGCAGAGCTTCTTCAGTATTAGCAATGGCGTGTTTTATCGTTACCTTAGCAATAACAATTGTTGACAAATTGACATGATACTGTGACATTCATATTTTCGCATTATAAAGTACCAATGCCAAATCTGAAGTTTCATAAAGAAGCATTTAGGGTAAACTGATCGTAAGTCGGACACGATCTAGTGTCGGACATTTTTGGCACTTAAAATCATTAGAAATAGCTTGGGTGAAGTTCTAAACCCTTAGTTCTTTCCGTACTTTGATTTTTGTTTTATGTTAAGACGGCATTTACTCTTTCGTGACGTATTTCCGGTCTTTACGAGGTTGTCTTCCGTGAATAGCTCGAAAGCGCGAAATTTCAAACTTAATCATCTAATAAAATCAAACTTACTTTAGATAGATCAACGAAACCCTGTCTTTACATACAGGTACATGACTACATTTTCGTTTATACTTGAAATTTAAAGTGTTTTTTGCTCTACAAACGCAAAATCCAGCAATGTTTTAAAAGTAGATAAACAAAATAAGTCTGTATTTGTATGCTGCAGAGTTGATCAGGAGACAGACACTGAATTTTAAAGATCTGATCTTAACTCGGACTGTCCGACACAAAATCAAGTGGAAAAAAATGGTTTTCATAATCTTTTAAAAATCTATGTTCCCTATTATAAAAAATAGAGCTACATACAATGATTTAAAGTTAGAAATTCAATTAGATTTAGATCTAGATCTAATATAAAAGAAACAAAATATTTTTCCGATTTCACGACACTTTACACATGGAAGTTTCTATATTAACGTTATAGCCCCTTAAAGGAATCTTAACATATTTAAAGTATCTATTGATTACTAATAAAGAGCGCTGAACTGTTAATACCTTAATTATATTTTAATAAAATATTTGAATATTTAATTCTTTTCTCACTAAAACAACATTCAACAGAATTAATAAAATTAGTTTTTTTATGTTCCTCCATCTGTGTCCGTACATTTTCGTACGAAAAAAAAGCGTTTTCATGAATTTCATCAGAATTATTGTAACAAGCAGACGGACGAACATATGATATAACGTTTAGTTTTCATATTTTTCTAAAGTATGAAATATATGATATATTATTTATGATAATGTCTTAAGTAATAAGATCATCATTCATATTTAAAAATAAGTAAACACAGAGACTTTCATATCTGACCGGTAATTTTCCATGCGTAGGCCTACACTTTTGCATCTTAACATGGACGGACGGACGGACGTACATACGATAAAATGCATTTATAAAATAAAATGAATTGATTAAACATTTTAATGTTCTATTTTTAATGTGATTAAGATAAAGAATGTCATTGTGGAAGGTGTATATATTGTCGGCATGCATCACTTGAGAAGAAGAGAGCTTGAAGTTGATGCTGTCCAGTACTGCGCGCGCGAACAACAAAACCCGTATGACAGAAATGCAGTTTCTGTATTTAGTGACTCGCTCTTGGTTTCTAAAGTTGCGTATTTCCGGCGAAAAGATGCAGCATTAATACCTAATGTTTTCCAATATGTGTATGGCAAATTTTATTTAAAGGCTATGATGGCACCTGAAAAATTCAGTAAATATCAAGGACCAATGCAACAGTGCAACATCGGATTTAAATGTAATGATCAACACGTTGAAGCTGGGCGCCTGATGCTCAAGAACTATAAATATTCTAAATTCAGCATCATGCGTGGATTTAGAGGTGGGCGGAACGGGCGTACGCCCCCACCCCCATAGAATCGCCGGAGCAAACGATTTTTGGATACAAATTGTGGTTCAATCTAAATTTTATCGATGGGAATGAATTTTTGTTTTAAGACCATCCTAGCATATAATAATACCACTAACTCGTTTTAGCTCGTTTACTTCTTGACGGTACTTGTTGGTAATTATGGAGACCGTCTAGGAGCGTCAGTGTCAACGTAACATTATATGTCCGGGTCACGATCATATTCGTCCGATTCACGATCGAATTGAATCATAGTCATTGTAACGCTTGTTTTCGTGTCTACATGCTTTTATTGGCTCAAAATGCATAAAACAAGCGTCTGCAAGATAATGATAAAAGTAACAGATATATAAATGACAGTGTACAAACAATATGCATACGAAGAGAGAGCCGAGAACCAAAAGGTGTCCCACTTACGATCAGTTTACCCTAATACTCTTAAAAGTTTTTGCAGCCCGGTTCGTCTATGTCACTTGTATTATATTTTGGCATATTTGTTTCCATAGCAAACATGATAGTTGATATAGGGACATAAAATGACAATTACGTTCTCTACAATGCAAACTTTTTTTCTTAGTTTCATTGATATAATTTTTAATTTAATGAAGGGTCTAATTTTGTCATATTTTTGCCATAATTTTGGCCTATTTGTAACCATAGAAACCATTGTTGTTGATATGTCAACAAATCAAAATGGGCTGCAGGTGCTATGAATTGCCATCTATCAATATTCCAAATCTTATGACGCAATGATTTACACTTTTTAAGTTATCGAATAATAACACATAGCGGAACTAACTTAATGACGTCGGAGTAGGAGGGGTACGAACCATAGATCCCACTTAAAATGTTTGATAAATAAAGATACCTCTTTCGTATTATTTTTTGTTATGGTATACTTATAATTTCAATTTTAAAATTGGCAAACACCAAAATTGTTATGCTGGATATGTCGACTAAAGTACTTTCGATAAATAACGTCTGTTAAAAGAAAACAGACGCAGTTCTCAGCTTTCAATATTAAGTCTTCTCAAGAATATGATATTGACGTTTATATTCTTTGAAAATCTCTAGGGGGTGAAGGTATCTAGTGACCCGGCGACTATTATTGATATATTTTACATCTTGGCCGCGACTTGGATCGGATGATTAGGGTTCCCTATTACCTTGACGTACCAGTTTTGATTAATTGTATATCAACTATAAATCCTTTTAATTGTACATGATAAAAAATTTAAAAAAAGATACATGTAAATTTAAATATTTTATTGCAGTTACTGCTCATATGTTTCTTCTTGATTTATCAATAATGAATACCTTCAGCAAAACTGCAATTAAAGTTCAGAGAAAGCATGCGAAAATGCAACGGTCAATAGTTAGTGAATCCAGTCTCAAATTTTAATATCATCTGCTTCACGCAAGTCAGGCTTAATAGGGGAATATAGATCAATGAATTCTTTAAGTTTTTTTTATCAATGTAACAAAAGCCTTCGGGATAGTACGGTGTTCCGTTAGGGCCATCGCGATTTCGCACTCTCGCCCTAGGGCGAAAATGCGAAAACGCGATAAGTAGACGCGAGAACGCGAGGGCAAAAACGCGAAAATGCGATAAACAGACGCAAAAACACGATGCAAAAAATATCGCGTTTTCGTTCTCTAAATTTCGTGTTTTCGCGATCTCGCGCTCTCGTCCTTAGGGCGAAAATGCGAAAACGCGATAAGTAGACGCGAGAACGCGAGGGCGAAAATGCGAAAACGCGATAAATAGACGCGAAAACGCGAAGGCGAAAACGCGATAAATAGACGCGAAAACGCGAGATTTTTTTCATCGTGTTTTCGCGTCTGTTTATCGCATTTTCGCGTTTTCGCCCTAGGGGCGAGAGTGCGAAATCGCGATGGCCCTAACGGAACACCGTAGGATAGTAACAGGCTTACCATTTTGTGTTTCCTCTAATGGTCCTACCACGTCCATGCCGATCCTGTTGAAAGCTTCATTACCTACAGGTATTGGATGTAGGGGTTTGTTTGCCTTCTTTAATGATGTCTTCCTTTGGCACAAGTCACAATGCTGTACGTACCTCTGAACCTTTTGAAAAAGTCCCT